TCAGCATTGTCCTGCCACATAGTAGATGTGGATCTCCGATGATGCCCCGGAGTGTAGCTGCTAGAGAGAAAACAGAGATTAACACCTCTGGGGAACCCTGGGGACACTGAAAGACAGCATTTCCTCAACAAGGAAAGGCGGCTTGGCTGGAAATTTCCTGGGACATTGTTTGGTTCCTTACACTACTTGCCAGGGATCCCTTGTCTTGACTAAGAAGAAAGCACATTAAATTCACATGTATTTAAGAAGCATAGGGAACAAGCTCTGAATGTTAATGAATTTGATCTTCACTCTGGAGAGAGCTCGCCCATACCTGTTCTGCCTTAAAATGCTGTGGCATTCCTTGAAAGTGATAGGAGTGCATGTGGTAAGGAACGCAGTAGGCTACCTTTCTGCAAACAGCCCTCAGGACATCTTTATTTATCCATTAATTTAAATAAATCAAAATACTCTTTAAGTTTTGTTGGAAAATAATTTAATAATTCAATAAAATAATTTAAAAACTAGCAGCAGCCAGGAAGATGTCAAGCAGCCCGCTCTGGGAAGTGGAAGAGGGGTAAAGGTCCTTCCCCTTCTGATTTGGTAAACTCTTTTAGCTTTTCTTAATCTCCTGCCCTTCAGATGTGTTGGGCATTGTAATTCTGTATCGCTGTAACTACAATGCACTGTAACCACTGTAATGGTGATGGCTGTATCACATGCCACCTGTGCACCCAAGGTTAGAGGAGCCTTCCAATAAAAACAAATCTTTGTGAGCTTCTTTTCCAAAGGGAACAACAGGTGGTTTGGGAATACAAGTACTGTTGGCCCCTATTGTTTTAGGACAGGGATTCCCAAACCCTTCTGCTCATTGACCCCCTTGATGAAGTTTCAGATTGTTTATCAACCTCCAAACAGGAAAATAATTTATTAAATATTACTTTAATGAATAAAATAGCATTGCAAATAATAACACCACCAAATAACATCTGCCTTCCCAGGTCCTTGGTGGAAAAAAAATGTAGAATCCAGTCTAACATCTGGCTGACTGTGCAATGAACCATAATAACATTGACCACTTTGTAGGAACCGGGTTTAGGATTTGCATGACAAAGCCAGACCTTGAACTATGAAAAGAAACAAATTGGAAGACCAATAAACAGTACCTGGGTCTGGAGGAATCAGCAGAGGGCATCTGCTATATTAAAATTTTGCATGCCTAATTCTGAGGAAAGTAGCCAAGAATACATTTAAGACAAATGGGGAGTGGGGGTGGGGGAAATGCACCACCTGTGTGGGCTAGCCTTTCCCCAAGGCTGGGCATCCTGTATATGTGTGAACTTCCCCTCTTCAGATTCCCCTTGTTGAGAATGCTGGGCAATGAAGTCCGCGCTCCACTTTGGGGGAGCAAGAATGAAAAATCAAGCTAATAATAATAATTCAACCTAACTTGATTGGAGGAACGCAAGTTTCTTCTGTACTGAATTGGGTCAACAATGCAGTCTATGAGAGAAGGCACCTTTTGGGCTAAGAGGTGATGTTAACAGCCCACAAGCACGCTAAGGTGTAGCCGGGGTGGGCACTTAGTGGAGACCTGGGCCTTTGTGGTAAAATCCTGCCCCCAGCTGCCTGCTACTCTTGTGCATCCTTTTAGAAAAAGCGAGTGGGTGTTGTTGTTTCAGATGGGCCTGAGAGCGGCGTCCTCAGCCCTTCCAGGACCGTAAGCAGACACTTGGCGACCGGGCGGCTGGTTTTGAATGCATACCCATCCGCGGAGCTGAACAATAGCGGAAACAAGTGACCTCCGTCTCCTAAGGACTTTTTTCTTTCTTTTCTCTTTAGGCAGATCCAGGTGCAGAACCCGCCTCTACCCACGGATATTTCGTCTGGCTTTGGGCCGCACCAAGCCAGCGGCGGCCCACCTCGCCTGAGGCAAGCGGAGAGCGCCTCCCGCAATTGACGTTTGGGGACGCACCAATCATTTCTCCGCCAGGGCACCTCAAGGCCGCCATGTTTTGGAATGGCCTCTGCAGGGCCCAGTCGACCTGCTGTTTGGCCGGATTGTCTAGTTTCACAAAAGACGGAAAGGGATTGGCTACTTTGTGCTTCAGTCAAGGGAGTCTTAGCTAATTGCGGAATCAAATTTTCACCTAAAGTCATAACAGTATCTTCTATTGGTCTGAGAATTGTGTGTTAAGCGGCATTTCAATTAATTCGGCCGAGTGTCTGATGGATTGCGAAGCCGTTCTGAAATCTGTCCATGCATCCCTCCCTTCCTCCTCTCCTTCTTTTGTAAAAGGCCTTTGGGATCTCAAGAGTGCTTGAATTTCTGCTTCTGGGCCTCTGGGTTTAGTCTTCATCCTCTTTGACTTCATTGGCCTTCAAGTTGTGAACTCAACAGGCACCAGGTGGCTTTAAACTTCCCAGAGCTGGAGGAAGAAAGTAATTGTTAGATTCTGAGTTGTATGTGTTGTCTTCCAATAGATTGGAAAATATGATGAGCCAGTTCTGTGTTGTCCTTTGTTGAGTCTTCCTAATGAGAAGACTTTTTCCCTTGCCCAACTCTACTGTTTAGGCCTCAAGAGGTGCTGTAAGGACAACTGAGATCAGTGTCTATTGGTCTATCAATGGCCATTTTCTCACTATGAGGGGTAGGGCCCCATATGTAGGGCTGACTTGAAGTGTTTTCACTCATCTTTCAGCTGGCAGAAATTTGTTTTCCCATTGCCAATTCTTTTCTTTGCTCTATGGTCTTTTGCTCTGATTTTGTCAGAGATGGTAACTGCTTAACAGGTTTTATATATCTTGAGGCTGTGGGTGGATAGTGCTGAAAAAAAGAAAGCCCAACTGTGTTGGTGGTGCAGTTTATGAGAATTAAGGCTGCTTTACTCATGGGCTGAGTATGCGATGAGCGCAACATCAGAGGGTCACATCAGGAAAAAAGAGATGGCTGATCCGTGTTTGTGCCAAGGTTTGATACAAGGAGTTGACTGAGCAGAATTTCCCATGAAACTCTCTTCATGGGGAAAAAGAAGACTCTTTTCAGACTTCGGAATAGGGAGATATTGTCCTTTGCTGCTCTGAGCAGGGTAGCCCTCCAAATGTAAATGGGGTTGAAATTTGACTGTGGAGACAATTTGTCCCTGAAATGGAAGACCATCCACCCTGCTACTGTAGACCAGGGGTCTCCAACCTGAGCAACTTTACGACTGGTGGACTTCAACTCCCAGAATTCCTCAGCCACCAATTATTTTGCAAGCATACCTCCTGATTCAGCTGCAGACAGTTGATCTGGATGATTCCCTCCTCCAGCTCTGACTGTCGATTGGTTGCCTTCATTTTTAGAGGCAATGCTGAGAAACAAGCTTCTTCCTGGAACTAACTTGCCAGGCTTCTGTGTTTTGCCTGCTGCAATATTAAAAGGGACTTTAAAGGGACCTAAAAGGGACCACTTTACCAGTGGAATATTGTTAATTGCTGTAGCTGGTTCCTCACTTAATATGTATTGTGCCGTAGTGTTATCCAATCATCCAATAATATAACAGCAATGAAGGGAGACTTTACAATGGTTCAGGGGTGTCAGGTGGTGGCCGGTAGTAAATGCTGATTGGGAACTGGCCTCCAGATAATTTGGAGCATCCTACTTTGAGAGAGCTTGAGAATAGCTAGAGTGAAAATAAGTGACAAAAGGTCTTTGCTTAAATGCAAAAAGCTCACAATGACAAATAGTCCTGCTCACTGTCCTTATTTCTTTAAAGGTGAAGTCCCCTGCCCCCCAGAGGTACAGCTATCCCAGGCACCTCAATGCAATGAAATATTTCCAAAGAACAGCTTGGTTTTTCAAATTGTCATTTTTAGCTTTCTAAATTTTAAACATAAAGATAATAGAAGTACAGAAATTCCTTATTATGCAATGAGTACACTGTTGGAAGACCTGAAAGATCAGGTCTTAGGGATGGATCAACATGGAGAAAACTCTGTGTGGCTGCTAGGAGTCAAAAACGACTCGATGGCACATCAATCGATCACATATTTGTTCAACCTGCTACCATGCATTTGGAAAACGTCTACTGTAGCCTTAAGCAGATGCTCTTCACTCCCCCACTAAATTCTCTTTCCTGAAGACAGCAACTGAACACAAGGACTTCACTTAAGAAAAGAGAAAATGTCTCACCTTGTTCGAGAAGGAAGGTCCGACGATAGCAACAACAACAAGTTATTAAACTGATATTCCACCAGATTCCAGTTCTAATCCTAACAATAATTAGGGGGGAAATACTTTCTCAGTTATATAGCACTGACGTTTCAGAGGCGTCTTGTTATTAAAACGAACAAACTGGGAGGCTATAGTTGAAAGAGGAGCACCCCTTTTAAAGCCCAAGATAATCATTATTTCGCAACTGACTTGCCACAGTTTGTGAAGGCATGTTTAGGGGCGGAGTAATGAGAGGTTCCGTCGGTGACAGTCTACTACCAAAAGCAGGGAAAAAGCAGGGATCAGGGAAAACCATGGGGGGGGGGGGCGAAGAAAAGGACGGAACATCCTTTTGAGTCTCGCCAAAAGATGCGCAAAGTAGATGTCTTGGCGAGGAGATCCATAAGCAGGACCTGATTATTCAAAGCGTCTACCCAGGACCTGCGGGTTGGAGCTGCGCCCCGCAGCTGCCTGCTTGAGAACTCGGGCATCCACGTCACTGCACCACTTCGTTTCCTCCTCCCTCAGTCCCTCTCTCCCTCCTCCTCCTCCTCCTCCTCCTCCTCCTTCTCCACCTTGCCTTCGCCTCCGGGCGACTCTTCACTGTGAAACCCACCCAAGCAGTAGTTGTAGGAGCAGCAGCAATAGCAAGCAGGGACAAACCCCAAGCTGAAATCCCCCTCCCCCTCTCCATCACACATAGAGAAGAGGGAGGGAGGGAGGGGAGGAGGGAGAGAAAGAGGGAAGGAGGGAGAGAGGGAGGGTTACAGAGGGGAATGTTTTCCTTTTCCTTCTTCTACTTTTTTTTTTAGGTTGCGCTCGCGCTCTCTCGCTCTCTCTCCCTCTGCCCTCTCCCTCTCCGCCGTCGCTTATTGTGGCTGTTAAATTTTAAACTGCTATGCACTCCGCTTCCAGTATGCTGGGAGTCGTGAAAATGGAAGGACACGAGCACACGGAGTGGAGCAACTACTACGGCGAGCCAGAGGTAAAAGGCAACTTCTGTGTGTTGGCGTGCGCGCGTCTCTCTCTCTCTCTCTCTCTCTCTCTCTCTGTTTGTGTGCGGGTCCCCCACCCAATCCCCAAGCCTCCTCCTTCTGCAAAAAACAGGACTCTCTCTCTCTCTCTCCCTCTCTCCTTTTATACAACACTCTGTTAGCCTTGAGATAATATTAACTTTGTGATCAAATATTGACTTGCGAAGCCTCCAAATCCTTTTGCCATGCCTAGCCGCGCTATCCTAACAAAGTTGTGTTTGGCAGAGAGAAGTTGGGTGGGGGGGAGGCGCGGGGGGGGGAACTACAAGGAAGCAAGGAGAACTGGGGGGACATTTGTGGCTCTAAAACTTGCCTTGGGAAGGTTCAGAGTCGAAAGGAAAGGAAATGTAAAGGGGAGCAAAAATGTGTTATTTATTTGACAGTCGCCGGTAAAGGAAGCAAAGATTTACCTGCAACCCATAATTTCTCAAGGTGTTTGGATGTATCTGCTCCAAATGGCCCAGGAAACTTCATGGTTCTTTGAACTTCAATACATTTTTTTTCTTGATCCAATGCACTTTTCAGGTTTCCCCCTGACGGTCTAAAATACCCCCCACTTCTTAAGGGCGCGGGTCTGGACTCAGCCCTTCCGCTGATTTCCTTAGGGTTTCATTTGATCTGTTGAGCTGCCTTAGCGCCGCGATTGAGTTGCAGTCCTCAGTTTGCTGGGAACTAAAATTCCGCGGAGAATCAATGTGGATTACTCCCAAGAACAGGGATTAAATTCTGAGTTAAGCTTGAACACTTTTAATTGGGGTCGAGACTTTTAATGGATCTAGTTGCCGGTGGGCTAGCAATGCTAACACGCACTGATTACTTGGGGAAGTAAGTTACATTGCGATCCAAAGGAATCGCTTCTAACTGGGAAGCAAACGCCCTGGACTTCGTTCAGTTGATTGGTGTTTCCCCGAATTGAGATGGTGCACATACTTACCGGTAGTAGAGAGTAAATCCTAACTGAATCCAATGGCGCCTACTTCTGAGTAATCATTGGTTCACTCTGCATGTTCTGAAGAGAGAAGGTGCTGGAAACGTCGGACTTTGTTTCTAGATTTCTAGATCAACAAGGCTAAATATCGGAGGGGTGTGTGTGTGTGTGTTGGTGCACACAATGTGATGTTTCTATACTACTTCCTTCCTCCCTAGCGAGTGACAGGTTTAAGTTCCCATTGATCTTTGAGAAACTAGGCAATTTACTTGAGCAAAACCCTTTCCCATACAGTAGGGTGTAAAACCACACATACACACCAGCGGAGCTGTTAAAATCTGAGAATTGGGCTGTGTTCTCCAAGATCTGTGGGATGAACAGCCAAATCTTGTTCTTAAAGAGATCCAGTAGAATTTCCAGTAGCGCCTTTCTTCGCCCTGGACATGATCCGGGCAGGCTGGCTGTGTTGAACACTGAATTTACTGGGGGCGGTTTCCAATCGGCTGGGATTCGATCTTTCGGCACCAGCTGAATTCTCTCCTACCGAACTGCCAAATGTCACAGAAGCTCCGGGGTCCTGGCCAAGGCAGCGCTACTGCCATTCCAGAAATACTTCCAATATTTCAAAGGGTTTTCGGGAAAGTCCAGGAAGGGGTGCTACGGTGTAACGAGGACGCCAGCGTGGGTCGCCAGGCAAGATGGGGCTCTCGGGGATGGGGTCCGCGGAGGGGCGGGGGGGGGGGTTGATCTGGACACAAGTGTGGCTAACCACCAGGCTCCCCTCTTTTGTCGCCTTTGCAGGGCTACTCCTCCATGAACGCCGGCTTGGGCATGAACAGCTACATGGCCATGCCCGCCATGGGCAGCGCCGGCAACCTCTCGACTGTGGCGTCCGGCGGCTCCATGGGCATGTCTTACGCGGCTGGCCCGGCGGGCATGAACCTGTCTCCCGGCGCGGGGGCCATGGCCGGCATGGCGGCCCACCTGAGCCCCAGCTTGAGCCCCTTGGGCGCCCAGGCGGGCTCCATGGGGGCCGCGCTGGGCGCCTACTCGGCCCTGAGCCCGGTGGGGGCTGGCGGCGGCGGGGGCGGCGGCGGCGGGGGCTACGGGCCAGCGGTGGGCCTCGGCCGCGCCCGCGACGCCAAGAGCTACCGCCGGAGCTACACGCACGCCAAGCCTCCCTACTCGTACATCTCTCTCATCACCATGGCCATCCAGCAGTCCCCCAACAAGATGCTGACGCTGAGCGAGATCTACCAGTGGATCATGGACCTCTTTCCCTTCTACCGGCAGAACCAGCAGCGCTGGCAGAACTCCATCCGCCACTCGCTCTCCTTCAACGACTGCTTCCTCAAGGTGCCCCGCTCGCCAGACAAGCCGGGCAAGGGCTCCTTCTGGACCCTGCACCCCGATTCGGGCAACATGTTCGAGAACGGCTGCTACCTGCGCCGCCAGAAGCGCTTCAAGTGCGAGAAGCCGCCGGGCGCCAAGCAGCAGCAGCAGCAGCAGCAGCAACCGGGGGCCTCGCCGGCCTCGGGCCCCGGCAAGAAGGCGCTCCCGCAGGCGGAGCGCGAGGGGCCCAACGGAGGCTCGGAATCGCCGCGCTCCAACGCCTCGCCTTGCCGGGAGCACAAGCGCTCGCTGGCCGAGCTCAAGGGCCAGCCGGAGCCCGCCCCGTCGCCGGCCCAGCAGCAGCAGCAGCACCTGCTGGCTCAGCATCACGCCCACCCGGGGCTCTCCCACGAGGCCCACCTCAAGGCCGAGCACCACTACGCCTTCAACCACCCCTTCTCCATCACCAACCTGATGTCCTCCAGCGAGCAGCAGCAGCACCAGCAGCAGCACCAGCAGCACGCCCACCATCCCCACCCCCACCACCAGCACTCCCACCACCCTCATCCTCCCCACCCCAAAATGGACCTGAAGGCCTACGAGCAAGTGATGCACTACGCCGGTTACGGCTCGCCGGTGCCCGGCAGTTTGGCCATGGGCTCAGTCACGAACAAAAGCGGGCTCGAGGCCTCGCCCTTGGCCGGAGACGCCTCCTATTATCAAGGGATGTACTCTAGGCCCATCATGAACTCGTCCTAAAGAAACCACCCCCCCTCTCCTTGCCGACCGCCAAACACGGAGACTTTGTGGGGCGGGAGAAAACTTCCGTCGAGTTCGGAAAGCCTGAACATTGTGCCCAAAGCTACCCTGCCCCCCTTGGCCCAATACCCACAGAAAGAGACCCCCGTCCAAGGGAAGGTCCAAAGCTCCTCTAAATAATGTTGGACAATTTCAACCCCCCAATTCTTTGGACGAGCGCTCAAGGTTCTTTCCCGTCTGTCTGGGGGGGGGGGAGGGGATCGCAGAACTGGGAACCCGGCACTCCTGTCCTCTACCAAGTGGAACGGGGCACCAAATATTTAGGTACTTTTCCCGCTGTTGTATGATTTCAAGCGCCTGCCGAAGGAGGGAGGGGAGGGGCAAACGCGGAGTGGCTCACTGACTCGATCGCGAGGAGTGGAAACTGCCCCTGCAGATCCGGCTCATGACCATGTTCGGTTCCCTTCAGACGCCCGTTTAACTTTCCTTTGAATCAGAAAGAGTTTTTCTTTTTTTTTAAGGTGTTAAAAAGCGACCCTAGGTATGTTTGTTATTTTGGGTTAGGAAGTTACAAATATATCTATTTTTGGACGTGGAAGTGACACAGAAGTGTGTGTGTGTGTGAGAGAGAGAGAGAGAACTGATGTTAGGTTTGAAAACTGAGGATCAAAGAGACTGTAGCATTGTGAAATCGAAAAAAGGGGAAAAAGAAAAGAGAGACTTTAGATTGTAATTTGACACACAAAGGTTTGAATCAAATTAATTTATCGTTTCTGTATGTTTTATTTATGGGTTATAAATGTGTATTCTGGTAACGACCAGTCAAATTCCCACAAACCCAATATTAAAATGATGTTGGATATTTCCCCCCTGTCCTTCAACATTTCTTTAAAATCTATAGTTTTGCATTCATCTCCTCTTATTTCTTTTGGTTAAATGATTAATGCAATATTTTAAATTGGGGCTGGAAAAGACTGTGGAATAATTTCAGTTCAGTGTACTAATTGTATTAAGACAAGTTTTAAAAAAGAAAAGAAACGCATATGAAAGCCTCCTTTGCTGCTCTCTGTCTATAGTATGGAAATGGCTTATAGGAACACTTATAATTAAGCCTCAGGCCCATTATGTTTCTATGTAGTTTAAGTGCACAGTTCTTACATGAACTACAACTAGGAATATTCAATGGTTCTGTCTGCATGCATATCTTTTCAAGAGAGGCCCACCGAGTTTAACTGATCTCTTCTATTTCCTGACTATTCACTTTGCAGGAAATAATATTTAACTGAATTCATTATGACTTACATCTTTGAATGTTTTGATTTGCTTGTATGTCATAAGGTTGGGATCCTATGAACATGTTGCAATTAGAGTGAAACTCAGCAGGTGCTATTAACGATGCAATCCTATCCATGTCTACAGAAGGGAAAAAATGAATTCAATGAGGTTGAAACCTTATTTTCTTATTGCTGCTTTAAATGGTTCAGCACTGTTTGTTCTTACTTAGTAATACCTTACTAATGACAGAATTGTAAGTCCATTGAATTTACAACTTCTTACAGTTATGTTCTCATGGAAAACATTTATGCTAACTTCTGAATATTAGCATCTTCATAAATGCTCTGAAGTTGCAGTCCTGTTTTATTTTACAGCAAGCTTCATTGAACTTTTGTGTTCTTACATCTGAGAAAGAGGTTGTCTCCTTAAATTAAATGAAGGGTACTCTCAGGTAAGTCTGAATATGAATGTACCCTTCAGTAATTACAAGTGACAAGATCCAGCCATTTTGAGAAAAAAAAAAACTTCCTTTGACTTTCATGGTAGGGTTAAAATCAATGCTCCTGTACTAAACTGGGCCTGTAATTAAAGTGTCTTTAGCTCGATGCTGATCAATATGCAGTGTATATTTTAAGGAACCAAGAATTTGAAGCATCTTATTAACAGCACCCCATTTATCAACAATTGTTTAGTAAAGGCCATGATTCCACTTTCAAACAAGTGGCCCCTAGAACAATAATAAAAATGCCCAGGTACTGCAGTTTCCCTCTTGTCTAGTAAAGAAACCAAAATAAGGGGTTATCTAGTCTGAATAAAATCTATGGAGGATGGAAGGTCACAGTATAATCAACACCTCTCCTAAATTCAACCTGGTGGGTTCTCGGCAGGGCAAACTCTGCATTTTCCCTTGTTGTGCCTCTGTCCCTTTTCTTTAAAAAAAAAAAGTCTAATGTTAGGAACTGAAAGCTGGAATTGCTGTTCTATCTTCCAGCCCTTTGACTAGCGGTGCTAGAAGCCCTTGAAGTCTTCTTGCGATTCAAAAGTCCTTCTCGTTAGAGAAGAGACCATTGCCACACCAGTGTTTTACAGCTTCGCCTAATCATCGTTAGGCCACAGGTCCATCTGCAACATGGAGAGGTTGTCTCGCCCAGCGACGGCTGGTTGCGGCTATAAGCACTAGAAAGGAAATGGTGAAAGAGAAGCCCAGGGGTGCTGCTGGGCAGAAGAGCAACCCCAGCTTTCTTGAGAGTTTCTCCGCTGACTGGGGGAGGGGGGGGTTGACCCGTGTCTACTGCACGGCCCATTATCCCGCCCCCCACACACACATCCTTTCCTCCAGTATTTCAGAGAGAAGCAGTTACCAAACCAGTTGCCGCCTTTACGTGGAACTGGAAAGCCCCCCCATTCGATTCTGCTGCCATGGTTTCCTTCCCTTGGCGCGTCTCGGAGAGAGTCCAGCCCATTCATCGAAACGTTGTTAGCTATACTTGCCGTTTTTGCTTCTTCAAATTGGGATATTCGTCTGGTAGCGCTGCGATTCGCAGCTATGTCGGAGTTTTTGGAGGAGTTGTGCGGGGCGCTAGGAACGGGGAGAGGGATGGTTTGGCTTTTCTTCCCTTTCCACCGCACTACCGAAAGAATGGCTCGCCTAACGGTATTACAATTGCAATCTGCGCACATTTTTTTGACTGTGTATGTTGCGGAAGCCCGTCCCTTCTTCGGCCAAGCTAATGTTTGGACGCTCTCCAAGATACAGAGGAGGGAAGGTCGGTCGACCCAGCTCCAGGTCGGATGAAGTGAGGTGGGGACACACATGTGTGCAAAGGGATTTTCGATGCAGCAGCCTCCCTTGCATTGGGAGCAAAAAGCAGAAGAAAAACGACATGCATATGAACTAAAAAAATCCCATACGAAGTGGTGTTTCCTTGGCTCGCTTGTTGTTTCGCGGTGTCAAACCCATTCTTTCAAGCGAGCCAGATCCCAACCTCACGCGAAACAATAGAATTCCCTTCCCCATAATGGTTGTCTGGCTGAAATCCTGAGAATTTGAAACCGCCGGGATTTCAATAAGAGGGAGCTGCCCTATAATCCAGGAGGCGGAGTAAAAACCAAAAGTGTTGAACCAGAAGTAGCTATAACTCGAAGTTCCTGGGTTCAGCCCAACGGTTAAATGTGTGAGCTTTACTTCTGGCGAGAATCCGAGGGTTTTATTCAGTGTGTTTACACGGAAATCAGCCCCATTAAATCTAGCATCGTTTGGCTGGATCGTGTAAGATTCCAGTGCTTAGTCTGGATTGCTTCGAGACCATGCACGTGTCAACTGCAAATGGAAGTGGAAGGAAGGCCCAGTGGGCTCCCTGGTAGTTTCTTAGAGGAGATACGGAAAATATTGCTCCGTTCCCGAGAACCAATAACAGTAAGGATTATACCTCTCAAAAGTATTTCTATGGATTAGAAAGAGATCCTACTCGGATCAGTAGAGCCAGCTGACCCATCTAAATACCAGTCAGAGTCAGGGAAGATTACCAGAGAAGAACACAAAGCTTTGCTGGTGTTGCATTGTTCAAAACGCATTTTGTAGCTCGGTTTAGGCATAGTTGCCTGTGCCGTGGTGAGGGAGAGGGGATTGAATGAAGGGGTGGCTAAAACAGTGTGAGAGAATATCTGATGACTCCAAGTTGTTTTTGGATTACAGCGCTCAACGTCTGACCATTCACCATGCTGCCTGAAGTTGTGAGAGTTATAGCCTAAAACATTTGGAGAGAGAACGCTCTATTCACCCAATAAATAAATGTCTGGGTGTTAATTTATGAAATAAATGTTCAAAGAAAAGAAGAAAACACTCCAACAAGAGCTAAAATGGTTATGATGTGCACTTCAAAGTGCAGTTTAGAGTATTATTGGGTGGGTGATAGGTGGATGGCAATCTTTTCTATCTGAGGAGACTTCGAGCTGTTACCAATGTGAAGGAAACAACTCTGCTCTTTGCTGAGAACCGCCCCTTGAATACTAGCTCAAGGCCAGTGATCCAAGACAGTGTGGATAAATTCTCCATAGCTTGTTGTAACTTTGGGCTTACCGTCAACATCCAAAAGACTAAGTGTGCACCAGCCTGCTTCTCATGCACTATACACAGAGTGCAAAATCACAGTCAAAGGGCAGAAAGTACAGGTAATGTTTGTTGTTGTTAGTTGCGAAGTCTATCACGACCCCAGGCGTTCCTCCAGGCCTTCCTGTCCTCTACCATCTTCTAGAGTCCATTTAAGTTCATGCCTACTGCTTCGGTGACTCCATCCAGCCATCTCATTCTCTGTCTTCCCCTTCTTCTAAACAGTGTAACTATCTTGATAGTATCTTTTGCTCATCAGTGATTATTGATACAGAATTTAATTGCAGAATAGCAAAGGTAGGTAGACTGCATTCCATTGCATGGGAACCCAAATAATCAGCTCTGTAACCACACTGAAGTACACTTGTGCTACTTACTATCCTTCTGGGTGCCTGTGAAACATGGACTGTATATCAAAGTACATGCAAGAATGACTTCTCTACACAGGATATTAGGCATCAGATGGCATAATGAAGTACCTGACACCGATGTTTTTATCTAGGACATGTCTTCCACCAGTCCAAACACTGCTGATAAGAGCACAGACCCAATTGGAAGATCATGTCATCCATATGCTGGATGAACATATAATTCAAACAGCTCCTTTTGGAGAACTTTCCAAG